AATCAATTAATATTCTCAAGAAGTAGCTCTAGCTACGTTCTATTGTAATTTTATACGTTTAGAGTTTGATAATTTTAATATTTTTAAACTGAATAAATAATGCAAATGTTGCCTTTTTTGGTTTAGTATTCTCATAACTTGATAATTTTATGCGCTGCTGTATTAATATATAGCAGGAAGCAATTGTATGGCTTTTGATATCCCGTACAAACTAGTTAAAATCTGGCTCAAAACTGTGACTTTCTTGTGACTTGTGAACCATTTATTTTAAACAATAATTATCGGCATAGTCTGAATTTTACTTTTTGTAGAGCATAATTTTTTTTTTTTTAGTGACTTTAATGCCGTTCTCTCACTCTTCAGCTTATGTTAGTTACATCACATTTCATAATTAGGTATAATAGCTGATATGCTTCTCAACTTTTTAACAAGTTTTTGCACTGATAAATTTTGTTTAGATCCTTAGTTATAAAGTGATGCAGGTGTACAGACCTTTGGTCAAAATTCTATAGGCTTCGCTCTTTTGATATCCCAGATTTCTATTCAATAAAGTTCGCTAAGAAACATTGCTTGCTATGTAGAATTTATTCCTTTTTGTTCTACATTGCGAGTAGTTTTTGGTGGCAGCTTTCATTGTTTTCAAGATCCTGAATACTATCATAGTATGAACCGTTAACATTTTCCAGTATTTTGTACATTCCTGCATGACTTTAACGCAACTTAAAATAAAATATTCATATATTCACTAAAATATAAGAAATTTTTTAAATATTTCAATAGATAAATTAAAATATTTCTTAAATATTTTAGCAAAAATACTATTTAATAATGTCACTTTTATTCTTCATTTTGACTAAAAATTGTCAAATAATATTAGAAATGATTTTTAAACATAAAATTTGCATTAACTTGTAAAGTAAAAGTTTGGAACTTTGGAAAATTTACTGAAAATGCCACAGAAACTGAATGTGTGATGAAAACTAACAGCCAACCTCCAAGCAACAGGCTTATATATGGCGTGCTGTGTTGTGCAACGGTACAAAACCCACAAACTTACAATTTTCGTTTCGAAACAGAAATAATCAATGGACTGACTAAACATAAATTCAAACTAAAAGGATTCAAATTGCAGCAGCCACCATTTCCACTTCGCTCCTTCCGAATGCTTTAAAGCACCGAGATAAAGTTTGCAAATATATGCAGCATATGCCAGAGTCGTTTGGATTATGTGTTGGTTGGATTTACGAATCGCTCGGATTAAAATGGAATATCGTCACCAAATGTGCTGGTTGAAACCCACATCCCAGCTTTTAAATGATTTGATTCTCACACAAATACAAATGAACACAAATGCATGCAAAATTGAATGCTGAAAACTGTGATCAATGAACGCAAATGCATATAATTGGCAGCACTGGTTGAAAATATAGTGGAAAATAATTGAACTGAAAAGTAAATTACATTACAGGATTTGGCAACAGTTGTTACACACTGCAATGAAATAAAGCAATAAAAATCTTGAATAATTAACGAAAAAAACCTCACAATTACTCTATTTAGAAAAATTTTTTGCTGTGATTTGCATAATTCTTTTAGATTTATTTTCTGTTTTCGAAATTTTCACAAAAATTTGATTTAAATAATTTTATAAATATTAAATACTTATATTTGTGACAAAACTTATTATTATAATAATTTGTTACCGGGCTAATTGGTCAAATTTTAATATAAATAAAAAGACATTAATTTATTATTTATATTTAAAAATCGTTTATACTTTATTTCCGATATTTCGACTATCTTCGATAGTCATCTTCAGGGAAAACCTTCAGGAAATTAGTGTCTTTTTATTTATATTAAAATTTGACCAATTAGCCCGGTAACAAATTATTATTAAATAATTTTAGAAATCCTTCATAATTAACGTAGACCATGCCGTGACATGATCAAATTAGTTTTAGACTTCTGTTGTACTTGATTGTACAGATACGTTTAATTTTAATTTAGTAATAAAAACTTCCAAATGCATATTAAAAATATTCCTAGTTAAATCGTAATCCCACTAATGACAATAAGTAGTTATCATAATTAGTTGTAAATTTCATTGAAATATAACTGCATAGATGCAATTACATAAAACGTTACCGTGACATGTTGCAGTAATACAAGATGCATAATATCTTCTTCTTAGTTCTAGATGTATTAAAATTAGTAGATGTAGTTGTACAATGAATTTAGATAATTCGAAGTTATCTTTTACAAAAACCTTGTATGCATTCTTGGAAGCAATAAGGAATATCCTCCAACTTACTAACATTCTTTTCTACACTGAAAGCCAACTAACAAAACATCTTCTGAATTTAGAAGTTGTTAGTGTTGACACAGCCTTTTAATTTTTAGATATTCTATGTAAATTTTTTTCAATAACTTCAATGAAGTATTTTCTACGAAAAGCTAAAAAGGAATTTTTTCTGACCTCCAATTTGTGTGTTTGATTAGCCGCAGAATAAAAATTTTAAAAATATGCAAAATGACGCCTGCGTTCATGGAATTTTCTTTTAGAAAAGGTTTTCGACATAAACGAACTTTCATAAAAAGATGCCTTAACTACTTTCATAAGTCTTGAACCTTTCTTCGATTTATCCATGTATTGAATTGCATCTTTACTTATAAAAATTTAATGTAAACTATGATGGCAGTCATCAAGGGCCGACATCAGATATTTGTGTCTAAATGTTTCTAAAAAGTGACAAATTTATTACTAACTTCTTAACTGGAGCTGCCTACCTTAACTACATCGATGAGATTAAAAGAGGTTATCTTATCTACTTGTATCTTGCATTATAAGAAACGCATCTAGTATCTTTATTTGCTCTTTCTTGAACTGAATGAACTCTGCAGTCTTAACCCACAGTATATTAATAGGTTAATGAATAGTTTTAATTACTAAACTACCTTTAGTGAATTTCTGCAAGAATAGTACAATTGATCTCAAAAATCTCAATTATTTCAAAAATTATGATCTCACACATCGTGGTGCAGCATTGTCGCTTCTAATCATAATGGTCAATCGTCAATGGTATTTAGGGATTTTGGGTAACGCTAAGGCCCCTATGCACTGCGACCAGTTTGATCTATTGTATACCCCTTTGTATTTAGATATTTAGCATCTCGAGGAATCGAACCAACTTTTTCGGAGGAAGTTTTCGAAGGTCTTCATCCTTTAGTTGGTATACACCAATAATTTTGTTTCTTCTGTGGCCTAGTGCATCACAGTTGGTCACCAGGTGTTCCATAGATTCTTCCTTATGACAGCAGAATCTGCAAATATTAGTGTCGGATATACCTATTTTGTGTAGGTATTTGTTACATGCGGCGTGACCTATTAGTGCACCAGAGAGTGACTTTAGACTCTTCTTGTTAAGGTTGAGAGAGGTATAAGATAAGAGATATAAGATACGAATACGTAAATTTTCGCCTTCGAATTGCTTTAATCTGAATCTAAATTTTAAATGGATTCGGAGTCTGTAGTTGTACAGATACTAAATCCTTACTAATATAAATTAAAACTTTTTTTGCATTAAAGAATTTAAGCTCATTAAAATTAAAGTTTTTGTCATTATTTTCAAATATGTGATTTTTTCCTACTTTTTCAAGGGATGTGCCCTACGAATACGATGTATCTGCTCATAATAATACACTTTTATTTTATTGTAGTCAATTTCTTTTTAACGAACTTTTTATATTTTATGACACTTAGTTTTGGTCCTTTTTCTTTTCTTGCACTTTTCGTCATAAAATTGCAATAATTTTTTTTGGATTCTTTTTTATACAATACATTTTCTATAGATTATATACGCCCGTGCCCTCTAAAAGAAAAATGCTACAATTTGTTGAACATTTCCGGGATTCATAGTGTTTGCGTTTGTCTTTTGCAGTTTTTGCAATGCAACCAACGTCCTTATAATGTGCGAACTAATATAAAAAAGAAGCTAAAAGTGCGGGAAGTGCGAGAAGTATGAGAAGTAGTGGGTTTTAATGGGACAAACACATTTGCAATAAATGTTCTTTCATGTTTTATAGTGCACAGTTGGTGTCCTTAAAAGCATTGCTTCCTTTTTGTGCAATTGCGTTTTGATGATAGATGCGTCTCGTGTTAACTGAACATGTAAATACGTGCAATCGTACTGTAATTGAT